TCTCTCCATACTATTTGAGACATGAAAATTATGGTTAAGCGTAACATCCCCAATACGCAAATTAACTCTAACACAGCCTAACTTCAAGGGGGCTGCCGTCAACGGACTTAGCCGTGTGAAAACTTTCTCAAATCTTCTTGACTTTATTACTTTTACGAAACTGAAATGTTAGCACCAGTGTCAATTAAAGCACTGACTTCGTGACCCTCAACATACAACTGTATGTGGGAGTTAAATCCCTAATAGGAATCAACAAAAATCTCATCTGATTTATGTACAAGTTGGTCATCTGCTGATGACAACTGAGGGGTCTTTGCATATCACTAGTATTTCCACTTGCATAAGCCGAATATTGACCCACATTTCCAGCTGACTTTAGTTTCCCAAACTAGAATATTTGGTGATAAATGTAACTGTTTGGGACTACCTTTGTATGCCCTGCGGTATGGAATGTTTTGTCTGCAATGTGTGTCAGCATGCTCATATCTACCCTGCGGATATTTGGGCATCCTATCTCAGTTACGGGAGTCCGAGCGATCATATCTACCCAGCCGATATTCGGGTGTCCTGTCCCTACGCCAAGAGGAGGAATGGTTCCGATAATAATCAACATTAGTTAACTGTCTCAGGGGTTGCATCCCTGGTACAGGGCCTCCCACGTTCACCACCGGTATCCCTATCCAGTGTGCTCTGTAAGGTAGAAACCACATTCGTTAAATCCACTAAAATGAATTTCAAATCCGATACTTCCGATTTTATGACATCATTCGCTGTCACTAATGCATCGACATTACTATTAGATTTAACGTGCAAACCTTCCATTTGACTAGTTAGGGAGCCTCGCAAAATAAAGCAACGCGTATACCCGTCTACAACGCGTGGTTGGGGATTATAATCTCTTCGCGTTGCCGACGAGTGGTTCAAGATACCGATCAAAAATGTTGAACGATTCCATTTCGCGAATTAGGGTTCGTTTTCCGGCGTTTTTTGTTCAACTTGTTTGCGTCGGTTTATCTCGTGATTTTGATGTATTGTAATTTATCGACAAGTCTCTTTTCTATGTTTTGTCATAAGTTTCATTCATTATTATGAATTAATTTTATACTATATTCTGTCATTTGTTATTGAGCTATTCTGTAAAATTTAAAACCGAAATGTCGAATACCAAGACTCGAAACCTACTGAAATTCCTATACACTTTTATACTGTATTATAATCAGGCCAAACTCATGTTTTTGCCATGAATATTGACGGGATAAACGCAATTTAATGCCAGTATATTGCTTTAACTAGAACTATTTATAGGAACATTCCCACGCTCTGCTGCTATGGAAATACAGACTGAATCAAAGTGTACGTGTCATTGATCTTGCTGCCGGCCGAGTTATGCATAGCTCAAACCCTTTGTACGCCGCCCAATGTTATAACCTGGCCAAACTCATGCTGTTGCCATGAGCATGGAGGAGTAAATTCGTAGTGACAGGATAAACGCAACTGCCAGTACCTGCTTCTTCTAGAACTATTTGTAGGAACAGTCCCACTGTTCTGCTGCTATGGAAATTGACTATTAAGGGTCATTGATCTTGCTGCGGCCTGATTTATGCATAGCCGTACCCTTTGTACGGCGCCCAGTGATAACGACTCGACGTTACCATGGAAAAGCATAGAATAAACTAAGAAAATATCAGTCTCTGAATTTTTGTGTGCAATTAAAAGATGTGTATAAGAGACAGACATCATTATTATTTTCTTTAAGTCTCATTTTCAATTATATTTTATATTTGTTATATATATTTGAAAATGGATTTTGTACGATACAAATACATTAATTACAATAAAGACAACAAGGAAGTGACAAACAGAAATTAAAAATCAAACAGCTCATTCAGTGGAACATAAATTAAAGTTAATTGGCGTAAACAGTTTATTACATGAATAGGCCTAATTAGTGATCAAGATCTACTGTACTGTGTGTGTGCAGTCGCTATGCTTGTATGATAATCTGATCTAAACACAATACATTTATTTTAGTGGTTTTTTTTTTTTTTTTTTTTTTTTTTTTTTGGAAGCTGAACAACAATAATTTAGGCCAAAAAATGGCTACCGTATCCGAAAACGCCATTCCTCTACACCCAGGCCCAATGTCTGTTTTCAAAATGACCTACAGAGAATGAATGAAAATAAATGGGGAAAATGCCACCCTAGCTTAGCCTACTGCACTAAATTTCATATTCATCGTATATGTTGAGTATTTATTGGCGGTCACTGTACTTTATTATGAATAGGACTACAAATAGTAGGCCTATTGTACATTTATTTTTGATATAGGCCTACCATAATATATTTTAAATGCAAGGTTATTCCCAACTATTATATCGGAACAAATTATAGACAATAAATCAATGGATAGAAAAAGCAATTTAAAGAATGAAATAATGATAATATGTTAAGAGATCGTAATTCAGTAAATATCCCATAGCCCATTGAGTAAGGACCAGAGTCAAGCGTCTGACTTTTACTTTGATAGAACAAAACCACAGGCCCTAAACTTCTAGCCGGCGATGCAATACACTGCAAGGAAGACGTTCCAAGTGCACTTGATACGCCGTGACGTGAAAACTACTTTTATACATTTACCAGTGCATTTTATAAATGAAATTAAAATCCCTGTAGTAAAATGAAATAACATAGTCATTTGGTACATTCAAGCGTTTAAAAACGATTTAATGATTATACATTTTAAATTTAATTATTTTGAAAAATTATTATAAAATTAATAACCCATATGGAATGGTAGAGCCCACGGTTAATCAACGACGCAACAAAACATGTGCCTCGCTGATTAAAAAGGGGTGAAAGCAATACATTGAACAGCAATCAGAGAAAACACGGAGAAAACAATATTTTACAGTATACAATACAATACCTTTTTTTAAAGAGCCTGATAATCATAATAAATAAAATCATAATAAATATATTCTTTTACACTAAACTTCGAGATTAATCAACATTGAAATAGAATAGAGTCTAGGTTTGTGCCGCATCAAAACATGTGTTTCATCGGTAGAAAGGGGTGAGAGCAGTGCATGTAACTGCTGGCTGGAGATTGTTTTTGCTTTTTTTGAAACGTTTCACGTCACATACAATGGATATACTATTCCACCAAAGTTCCAGATTAATCAATATTAAAATAGATAACATATAGGCCTAGGACAACTGCTCACATTTATATCAGATAAAGGTACGTTATATGAAGTTCAATATATTTTTTGTATTTCGCTAACACTGAAGGAAGTCTAACCTATCTAAGTTCATGATCGAATGTAGGCTTACTGTAGACCGATAGTGTCTGTCGTCCTAGACAGTTTTTTTAATAATCTTAATTAATACTAAAACGATATAAGAAATGATAATTTTAAAGACTAACTGTAAAAAAGATATAATTAGGCCTAACAAAAATTCATAAAAATTGCCTGTTTTCGATTTTTAATTTTACCTAGGCCAAAGCCTAGGCCTATTGAGGTATAATAATATCTATGTCCTAGGCCTCTCCTAGTTTTATATTTCTGCTGTTGGTTTTGATCGTAACGGTGACGATAATCTCGATAAATTATTAATGTAATTCTCAGAAATATAACGTGAGCTTGCGTTACTTCCAATAGGGTTTATTTTTACACGAGACGCTTTTGTTTGTGTTAATTGGGTTTTTACACTAAGCCCTGTTATCAATTCCCCACTACGAAGTGGAGTAGCCCAGGAAAATAATCCCAACGCGTGGCCAACTATGGGATTAAACTGCCTTTTATCGCATCGCGTGGTCCACTCGTATACGCGTTGCTTTATTTTGCGAGGCTCCCTTAGGGAATTCACACCATACAGCTGATGGGGGTGGGAAGGGAAATTGGAATCAGTTGTGAGTGAGAATTGGTGAGCTTCATTTGCGCTCTCCACCTGTTAGGCAATCTTAACAGCGGCCTCTAACGTTGTTGCACCATGTTCATGACATTTCATTTAAACTTAAAGATGTATTGTCCGATAGAACCCAGAAATCCTTAAAAAATATAAATTAATTCTGAATTTCTTAAATTGTATGTTTGGATGAGTAACAACCATAATGTTAAGAAAATGAATTTAAAACAATTTTAGTGGTATTTCTTATATAATACACACTTTGTTAATGTAAAAACATTCATAAAGAATTACAGACACTGGAAGTGTTTCTAGAATTGTTTGGTTATTACCAGCCCACAATTCAGAGAAAACAATTTTTAAAATAGTCTCAAGTTCATGACATTTATTATTAAAATGGGTAAGTTAAAATCAAACATTTATTTTTGAAGAATTTTTCATTTAGTTTATCGGACAATACAGCTTTAATGGAACGTGGATGATTAGATATTAGGTTTAATGGTTAATGTTAATTCCTTGCTAACTCACCGTTTTCCTTCTTATCCAATTTCTCTTATTCCAAAAGAATTATTCAAATCAGTGCTGCATTATACGTTTTTGGTTCGCTGGTTTCTGTACTGTGATATTAATGCAGATCTGTACTTGTCTATGCCAGCTTTCAATAGGGCTACAGCATCATTTTCCAAATCATTTATAATTTGAAATTCAGCGGGGAACTGCAAAGTATAAATCATATTTAGTTCATTCCTAATCCGGTTACTACTTATTACTACTTATAATATACTAGATCTCTAAGACAGAGAATAGATAAGTTCATTAAAATATGTATTATTTATCAAGTGTGTTGCTTCCTGTAACTGTCATGATCATAAGCAAACACAATGAAAGATACACATAAAAAACATTCAACCAAGGATTCTTTAGTGGTGTGTTCAATTTGTAATTGAAAACTGTAAATGAATGTTATGCACATGGTGTAAGTTTAAGATATACCTTGCTAATTGACCACTGGTAGGGAGTAAACTTGATGTGGTCTAATACATGTCCGAATAAGATTCAATCCCAAATTACATTTCTAAATTCCAAATAATTCTGTGTTATTTATTTGTTCAACACTATATTTTGAAACAGTTCCATACAAAAAAATAAAAGAAACTTCTGTTCATAATTCACATTTAAATGAATATGAATAATCTTTGCAGGCCTAAAATACAGTACAGAAAAGGCTACAGTAATCTTTGGAGAGAAGCCAACTTAGATTGGTAGATTGTCTTTAAGAGCGCTATTGAAGTTAGGTGATAATACATTATATATAAACGTGCTAAAGACCTGAAACAGAGACATTGAAATAAAGGGTTGGTGACCCAAGGGGTTACTTGAACTAGTTACTGTAGGTACGGATATCCTACTAAAAAAACAGTATGAATACACTAACATCAAACAGACCTCAGGCCTATGAGATGGCCTAACATCATTCACCAATGATGTATAAAAATGATAAAAACAAAAATAAGCAATTGGGTCATTTTAGCTAAAAATCAACCACCATGCCCATGTGAATCCCTTGGATCTTCCTATAAAAAAATTCTAAGAATACCTTGATATGTCAAAACAAAGAATCCAAAATGTTGAGTAAACAAAAAAAAATAAAGTAAAAAAATAAAACATTGAAAAATTCGAAGATTAGATTAACAATTTTTTTTTTTCAGAAAAAAATTCAACAAGAAATTTTAATTTTTAAAATACAATGAAATTATGCAATACTTACTGTATTTAAAATTCAAAACAATCCCCACTTCTACCCCATTTACGCCAAAATATTTTCCCCTTTACTTACCAACCCTCACACCAAAGTATTTCTGAACACACTCCTTACGACTATCTACAGATTATTTATTATTTGCCACATTCTAACTACCTTCAGTAAACCAGTCATGCAAGCAGTGTATCTGGAACTAGGTATAATATAGATTCCATGCTCAAAACAATCTCTATCAGTGTGTCAGAGAGGTGTCTGAGACTTTATGTAATGAGGATCCTACATTCTAATACTGTATGTGCAAGTCTATGTGCAATTTGTACAACTAATTTAACCCATTAGGACCTAGACGCTCAAACCGCTCTGCGCATTAGTCCCTAGACCACACTAAACAGCCCTGGCTATTCAACCCGCTATAACTTCTGTTATACGAACTGAAGCGTGTCGCGAAAAACGTCTACATAAACTTTGGGAAATCCCTAAATTTCAGAATATCTCATCATCCAATGAGGTTTCTATTTGAAAAAATGACGTAATTTACGTTCAAAAGTCAAACTGTTGAGAAGAAGCGAAGTTTTGAATCGCCTGACTTCGCACAATGACACCACAGCAAGCGCTGAACGTCTTATAGAAAGGGAAGACTTTTTCAATGATAAATTGACCTTAAATTTGTCTGCTGACAGCGACATAGATGTTTCATAGGTTAATAATATTAAACCAAACAATAAAATATATGGTCATAAAATTATATTATAGTACAGTATATATAGTAACTCTTATACAGGCTTTCGCACAGCAGGCAGGCATAGGCTAGACTAGCGATGGTGATTGTAAACAGAGCTCGTGTTCCCTTTATGTACGGTTGATATTGATAATAATACAATAAATGTTTTGAAGGTTTGAAATTATTATTTTGACACTCCACCATCCATTTCTATTTACATGCCTAAGCCAATGAATACTTTGTAAAAAAAGTAAAAACATACCCTGCAAAAGGTCTAGTCTTTAGATAGATGTTTATGGCAGCGCGGCACTTTTGGGCTTCAGTACCACTTTTTGCCCCACACTCGCAACCGAGTAGGCTACTTGCTTATTCATCAATAAACTCCTAGTTTTGCACCGAAAATGGTATATAAAACTGATAGAAATTTGGGAATTAGGCCATAAAAACATCAGTTATTATCACCTTATCATATTATATAATTATAGGCTTTTATTTATGCAAAATTTAGAAAAGGGACATGCTGATAATATTTTTTTTTAGTAAAAACCAATAATAAAGGTCAGTTGAATAGGTCAAAGGTCAATATATCAAAGTCAAAGGTCAGATAATTGATGTCACTCAATAAAATAATTATAAAATTCAGTAAAGTATGCAAATTCAAAATCATTCATATAATTAATTCAAAGAAAATTGCAAATATTGGATGAAATGTTAACTATGAAAGTCAAAGGTCACAATTTCAAAGTCAAATGTCAAAATATTTTGTGTCACTGGAATGCTTATTTAATATGCATCAAAATAAAAACTTGTAATGGAACATTTTCAACAATTAAAAAAAATTAGTTTATTTGTAGTAGAGTCTAATTCCTTTCATATAGCATAGCTAACTCTCTAGGGAGTAATACATTACAATAATAGGTGCTAATGTGTTAAGAATGCATGCATACAGTAATAATAAACTGTAGGCCTACCTTCCTCATTTGAGTATCGGATGATATTTGTTGTGGGTAAGTAGTTGCTCCACTATACTTGAATACTCAGCTGATGTTGGGTACCTAAGAAATATACTGTATATAGCAAAAATAGATTTTTAGACACAGCCTGTAGTAAACTGAGAATGAATAAATAATAATTAAATAAGTGAGTTAATCAATTGTTGATTTATAATGCAAGAACGAATCCGTTAATAAACTACTTTAAAAATTAAAATGAATTACTAAAATAAACTTAGAAATCAATAAATAGTTCTTAAAATATTACTATAAATACAATTACTAAAGAAATGAAGAAATGTTTAAACAACTAAACAAAATACAGTACAGCAGTCGAAATATAATTATTTAATAAATAAATGAAAAAAAAAATATATGAGTTTAGGCCTAATAACAAATTGAGTTTAATAATATAAACAAATTCAATTAATAATAATAAAGAAACTTAAAAATACATATTTCTTGACAGATAATTTCATATTTAAATTATTAAAATAATTACAGTTAAACAGAAAGGAAGCTTTATAAAGAATAAATAATAAATATCAGTATCAGTAGACTTGATAAGTGGAAAAATGAAGTTATAAAGAAAGGCAAAAAAGATTAAAGATGTATGTAGCTCGCATGGACCATATTAACAGGTGGGCCAAAAAGTTAACAGTATGGACGCCATACGGACACAAAAGAAAAAGAGGACGATCTAACAAGAGATTAAAAGTGATCTTTTCTAAAAGGAGCTTGGTACGAACTGGGCAAATCTGGCAAAGAACAGATCAGAATGGAGTTTGAGGAGGCCATCGGCCACCAGTGGCATGACAGGCTGATGATGATGATGGTATAAGTAAATAAATAACTAATAATTAATAAGAACACAGTGGCTATTGTTACGCTCAGTACAGTAGTTCCTGTATGCTTTTTACACCATCCAGTTTCGCATACGCAGTGACCCGTTTTTGAGATTTAAAAATTGCAAGCTGTAGATACGAAATTTGTGATAGACATGATGCACATAGCTAGTGAATGGCAGTCAATTTGAGAGAATGACAGTTCGAGCAGATGTCAGTTCGAGCGGATGCATTTAGTACAAATTATAACAAGCGCAAATTTATTTTCGCCCCATTCTTGTATTTGTTTGTTTTAAATGCAAAAAATACTCTGTGCACTAAAGTTCTGAAATGTTTTTGGTACTTTTTGATAATTATTCCATGTTTGAATACAGTCTTTGCAAATCCTACTACTATTTGTATTTAAATTATAGTGTTGCAACTGTATTTGTAGATTTACGATTTAGGCCTATATTTGTAAATGGAAGTAATAATTATGTACAGTAATTGTAATTGTTATTCACCATAGAAATTTAAATCATTTTTACGTATATGGTGTCAGAAGGTGCACAAATCATTGATGTAGTAATGTGACACAGGGGAAGATCCAGTAGTGGGGGGGGGGGGAGGCATAGGCATGTGACCCCCACCGTTTTGCCACTAAATTTCAAAAATGTCAATGCATATTAAAGGGCAAGTGCGGGTTTAAAATAAGTCGTCATATATTGATTATTTAACCTTTTTTGAGTTCGGAAAAAATATTTTAAAAAATCAAAAGCGTTAGATGTAACGAGAATTACGGAAACAAAACATGATATGATGAGAAATCAAAATCAGGTGAAAACGAGGCTGATCACTTTTTTCAGTAGCTTGGTAGCAACTTTCTAACCAACTCATTAATATTCATGACCAGTCTGTCAATTTTGGCGAGCAGCTGATCGAGGAATCGTCCCGACGATGATCGAGCGACCAGCAACCTCGACAATATACATACATACAGTTAGTAAGAAGTCGTGAGTTTTTATGTACGCAGTAACAGAGAGAGGGTTTAGTCGACGTCAGTTCAATCACGGAGGAATTATTCAATTGAATTAATACCAGTTTGTTGATAGTTAGGCCTACACCTATGGCTATGCCTAGGATTAACACAGTCACATAGGATTAACACAGTCAATATCTACCCAGCACCAGCGTCAGTACTCCCGTCCCGCTCGCAACAGGTGAGTTCTCACGTAGCCTATCCAGCTGAAGCTGACGGTAAAGTTATTACCGTAGGTTTCTACTGACTACTACTTATATTAATAGGCCTAGCTAGTCTGACCATAGAGATATGGTCGGACTAGGCCGGACTGTCACATAGGCCCTATTTAAAAAGGCCGGGTAAATGCCTAGAATATCTTTGTATAGGCCCTAGACTTTTCATGCCATGGCGACCTTCCTAGGTAGGCCTACTACTAAATAACTAGGCAGACCTGGTCCTATGAAAAACTGTCTAGGCATAAATGTTAAAACTGCACTGTCTAAATAATGGTGATGTGCTATATAATACTTTTTTTTTTTTTGTAGGACTACAATATAGGTGATACAGTAGGCATACAAGGCACCCTGGTCACATGGTATTTGACAATTCCCATGACGAGACAGAAATTCCCCAACATTTGCCATTAGTACAACCACCCAACCTGCACCCAAAACTGGCATCTAGTGAAACATGTACAAAAGATGGTGGTACAGAGCATACAAGCACCCAGCAAGACCTTGGCAAGAAACACTCCGGTCGTCTACTGAAACTTAATTGTAATGGAAGCTACACACAATGTAACACGAGCAATAGAAAATTGGGTGAATATCTCATCATCATTCAGCCAGAGTACATGAAGCATATTGGCATGGTAAAAAAATATCAGCATTAGTGGTTTTTTAAGAAACATTAATGTCTGATTTTTTTTGTGCCAATATTTCTACAACATTAATACATTACAAACTAGCAGACAGGAAGTTTTTACGCATCTGGTTTATATTGCAGCAGTGTATTACAATGTGCATGCCAAATTTATAATAAATAAATAATATTTTTAGAAGTTTTAGTTACTTGCAAAATATCTTTAATACTAATCAATGTTATTATAAGATTCTTGTTTTAAAACCGTGTAATCAATTTAATAGTAATACTTTTGGAGCAAATATGTGACCCAGATTTATAAAACTTGTGGGGATTAATATTGAAATATATAATGCACGAAATTTATAATACAGTATGAAAATGTGGCTGAATATATACAGGAACAACTATTTTAATGTATGGCTTTCTACAGTCTGGTGTAAAGTTAGTCTATGAATTTGGTTATTTTGTAATGGCTGGATTATGCCTAAGTCTGCATGCTTTTAAACGTTCGCTGATCAATTTGGTACTGCAATTTAAAAGAAAACTTCGATTTTGTTGTTGTACACCATTTTTTGTTTAGTATTTTGAAATATTTATATAGTTGAACTTGCCTATGTCGTATCCAAAATGCCATTGAGAAATTGTTTGACTTTAACAAAATTGACTTGCACTTAATGGAAAACAACAATTCGGCATGTAAAATTAGATTGACTTAGAAGTTATGGCAAAGTCGTCTTAGGCAAGTTTAACTGATTTATTTATCATGTTTGATTGCCTTGTATTATTTACCATAGCCAAAATTTCTTCTTTCATGATGATTTTCAACATCCATGATATTTTTTATACACATCTAGATGTGTATAAGAGACAATTCGAGGCCTGAAGAAGGAAGGCCGATCCTATACTAAGCTTGGCCTCGGGCTAGGCCTAAAGCTAGGCCTAATTCAGTGGGTTTTTTTTTTTAAACCAACAAAATTTTACCGGTCGGCCGATTATTTTTACCGGTAAAATTGACGGCTAAACCGGCGTCGGGAGAACACTGATACTAAGTGGAAACATAAGCCTATTTATCGATAACAATACTAAGTCAAACAATATTGTACTTTTTGATGTTCTAGTTTCCCAGAACTGTACATCGTTCTCGTTTCACCGCTCATCGCGGGTGATCTGCAATGCAATGCCAGTCTTGAAAAATGACGTCACACACATTCTGGCACTTCATTGGGTGATGGTGACGTAATGCCATTTACCGTAGCTTTAGCAAATTGAAGTAGAAATACGGTACCTTATCTCTAGCCACGGCGTTAAAAAAATGGGGTCAAAAACATTTTTCAATTTTTTTTTTTAATCATAGTGGTGTAGAATAATCTTTTGAGAAGATTTTCCAGAAAAATATATGTGATACGACCCTCCGTTATGGAGTTATGAATTTAGACAAGAATTTAGCCTCAAAGCTGGGGACGGATCATTATTCCGAAGGCCCATTAGTCCGAAGGTCCATTGGTCCGAAGGCCCATTGGTCCGAAGGTCCATTGGTCGGAAGGCCCATTGGTCCGAAGGTCCATTGGTCCGAAGGCCCATTGGTCCAAAGGTCCATTGGTCCGAAGGCCCATTGGTCCAAAGGTCCATTGGTCCGAAGGTCCATTTGGTCCGAAGGCCCATTGGCTGTCTCTTATACACATCTAGATGTGTATAAGAGACAGGGTTATATATTAAAGATCAAAGCCTAATTTTCGGCAAAATCTGAGCAGAAATCGGCCCTCTTTTTGCAAGATGCGCAGACGGGTTTCTAAGCCAAATTATTGCTTGAAGGAAAGGTCTACATTCCGCACGCAGGCCATAAACTAACTACTCTAAGCTAGTGATCCTTTTGCCCTAAAAATGCAAAAAGCGCCTGCCAAGGGCATGCCTCGCCGAAACCGAGATTAAAAAAGGCGCTAATTGATACGATTTTATTATTATTAATTACAGCATTAGCAGGGTCACACCTAGGCCAGGTGGTTGAGCTCAGACTCGAGTGTGTGCAGGCAATTTATCCTCGAAAATTAGTTTGGAACTAATCTGAATATATAACCAGTGTATCATACAGAAGTTAAGTTCTGTGCACCATTTTCCTAGCCATTTTCTGCGCAAATTTGAGCTAGTTTTTGAGGTATCATCATCCACATTCCACGACGAATAAACTGGCATTTTAATAGGGCCAGCCTGGCCTAACTAGCCAGGCTTAGGCTGCCTTCCAATAGATAGTTCCATGGATCAATCATTAACATGTAAATTACTGTACTATATTCAAAATAGTGTTGTTCGTCTAATGTTTGAAATTATAGTTTTTATGACTAAATTAGGGGTCTAGGCCTAGGCCTACA